GCAGATGATTAGGTATTATATAGCAAGTACAGCAAAGGAACTACAACAACATCTGATGGCCATGAACCACGAATGCCAACATTCCTCCCTAATGGCCTGGTTCCAATAACTCTGAAGGGTGACTTACTCTCACTATGAAGGTTAGCAATGAATCAGAAATTAAATGTTCTGGTCTCACCATAGATTTGCTTATATCGTCTGGTTCTGATTGGACAAAAAGGGCAGTCGTTCAAAGGTTGGATGAGATGGAATGTGAGATTGAAATTGGGACCCTGATCTTACAGCAGCAGAACTCTGACAGCAAAAGCTACAATGTGATCTGCAAGCTGATCATACAGGTCAGAAGTGTCAAACTCAAGGGCCGTGAGCCAAATCTGGTCTGTGGGATGCTTAGATCTGTCCCGCGGGGCCACCCTGGAAACAATGAAGGACCAGCCCACAGTGCCTCTGTCAGTGGCCCTCCCACTGGCAGAGGGTTGCAGGAGGCCATCACAGCCAAAAATGGAGCTCAGGACCCCGTTTTCACTGGCAGAGCACTTGGGTCTCCAAAGGCGTGACACAAGTGATGCTGAGCTGGCCACACCCACCCTGGCCACACCCAAGCCGACCCCAAGGTCAAAAACAACCCTGATGCAGCCCTCAATGAAATTGAATTTGACACCTCTGATATAGGTTAACCATCCTTAGGTTAAGGAGGGAGCTTTTTAGAGTTAGGTGCCAGGTGCGTCCATCAGCTTCCCCACAGGGGAAGACCTAGAACACATCTGTCCTTGCGACTCTGGATATAATCCAGAAACCATTCACCATGTACTGCATTATTACAATGGGCAGATGTTTGTCTTTGGACTAGAATTTGGATACCAGGACCATAGGAGCCAAATTTTGTGTGGATACACAGCTCCCCTGGCACAAATATGAACATTTCTAAGTTTGAACTTCAGCCCTTTTTCTATTTTATTCATTTCATCTTTTGGTTGTATTGATTCCATTTTATTTTGACATGCTAGTCTTTGAACACAGGAGTAAAAATGGCCCTGACTTGGTTACAATTTGAAGAAGCTCAAGAAAGAAATTAATATACCTAATTAGATACACTAATTTTGTTCAAGAAAGAAATTAGTGTAGCTGCTTCCATAATGGAGGGATATGTTCATTTTAAATGTCCTGAATAAGAAATAAGATTATAATTCAGATTTCTGAAATGAGCTGTTTTGAAACTTTTTTGTTTGAAAACGTTCGGAAAATATAATCAGTCTAAAATGCTATGACCCTGCCACAAAATGCAGGAAGATAGAATTTCGTGTTTTGTCACAGACTACGGATCTTGAATAACAACAAATCAAAGCTATCACTGATTGGAATCCAGAGTTGATTTATACCCCTGGGAGCTTTGCCATTCATTTAAATCTCATCTTAGCCATGTGGTCACTTCTGCAGTGAGGATATAATAGTACATGGAAAGATGACTAAAATATTTATGGGAAGTTTCAATACTTTCATAAATACTGAAGTGCACAGTTTAAATTAGAAATCTTCTGTTATCTTTCAAACTAAGAAAGCACCCGGTTCACTGGAGGTATTAGATAGGATACAGCACATAGTAATTATTGTGATTGAACTTTTATCCCTTGCTGCTCCCGTCTCCAGAGAATTCTGCATATTGTTTAATTTATGTGGTTACCACAATGGTAAATGGAGCTGGCAGCATGAAATTGTTATAAAATCTCAACCAGGTATCTTTGTTTTTCTGGTTGAAGAAAAAAAGAAAGAAAGCCATGTTTTCTTTGGTTAATTGTATAATTTTAAATTTCTAGAATTAGGTCTCCTGCAAAATGTCCCCTTAATCTGTATCAGGGTTCAACCACAGTGACCCCCAAAGGACAACAAATTGGCACTAGACAACACAAATACGTCTTCGTGCACCTCTTCCAGGCAGCTAAGCACTTTTCTTCTAGGTACTCACTTTTGAATTACTTTATTTAGTTACCGTATCTTTTAAAAAAGACTATTTTCATTTTATTTTGTTTTAGCTTCACTTAATTTGTTAATGAAAATGATATTGAGCATGTAAGCATTGTGACATTACACACATAAGAAAGAGACAAAGTTCACAGCACAACACTACTTTGTGCTGTTTGACAAAAGTGGCATGATCCCGAGCTCATGGATGTATGGTGGTATTGTAGAAGATACCTGCGTAGCAATGCAGTGAAGCCTCCATCATTGGCTGATTCCTCCCCATCTGAAATTAGGAATGGATCCAGAGCTTTCTTACCGAGTCAGCCAATCAGCTCCTTGGTGGATTCCTTCAAGTATTTTCTACTTTTAATCATTCCATGTTTACTGGATTCTTGAGAGGTTTTTTTGTTATTATTTTTTTCAGAAACAATCCATGAGGAATGAATAAAGGGCAGGCTGCACTTAATCTGTATGAGCAAGATTATTCTTTTATAAACAGTGGAGGCAAAGAATATGGTTTAGATCAAAAGTGAGTTTTGTAATGTAAGACTTTGTGGCTCCTAACAGGCCATTGCCTAATTTAAATTTGCTTTCCTTTTCCCCACTGGCTGCATTCAAGACCCAGGGTATGAGTTAGAAAAGAACAGGGAGATAACTGTCCTTGATGGGACTTTAATGCAATTTACCTTTTCTATACCACTATTCCTTCCCATTTATCCTACACATCTGGGCTCCCTTATTTTTTGCTGTTGTTAGTCTTCTGCTTCCTTTGCTGTTATATTTTTGTGATGATTTCCTCTTCCCAGCACAAGATAAACCTGAGATTGTCTTCCACGCTTATGTACTTTGAACAGCTTTTCACCTTAGCTCAATCCCTCCTTGGCTTTGTCTGGCAGGGAAGGATGAGGTTTGTAGTCAGAATACCTGGAGGGCATCAAAGTGGGGAAGGCTGCTTTAGATCACAGCTAAATGATCTACACAACTTTATTGTGGCATATGCTGTATTTTAATACCTCCTTCTCTGTGGCCAGTACCCAATCTATGTTCTTCCCTTTACAAAATGAGAAGATGGAATGGGAAAACATCTATGGGTTTTTTTCTACTCTTAAAAAATGCATCAATTTTATCTACTCTCATTAAAATACAATTATAGAATAATTGGATGCTACGCCACAGGAATGAATCATGAATTTTTAATTAAAAAAATAAGGGAAGAAAATGAAGCCTTCGGAGATAATCCTGGACTGCAGAAAAGCAAAGGGGTTGAAGTTTTGTTAAATATGTCTAACTTGGGATGCCATTCTCATTCATGAAGTTACCCTATTTATAAATTTTAATTTATAAGAAAGGATATTCATTGCCTTCCTGTGCTTCTGTTTCTTATTCCACAAAAGAAAAGAAGACAGAAGCTTGGGGAAAAAACACAGCTTTTTGGCTTGGTTCAAGTGGCTGGTTCAGCCAAGGAAATAAAAGTCTGATTCAATTAATGCTTTACTCTCATTAGAATTGCTGTTCTTTATCTTCCATTAGGAATAATTCCATAATGTTCCCAAATGGATCACCTCCACGACTGAAACCTTATCACTCCACGCATCTTTCCTCTTTAATCCATACCTCATAAAGAACACGAAGAAGAGGCAGAATCTGAACCTTAACTTTTGTTGTTGTAAAGCAAAACACAGTTTCCATTGTATCTCGGACACCACCTGTTCTCTCAATTTCTTTTACTGCTTTTTATATTTTTCTTCCCATTCCTCATTCTTGGGATGATTTGCTAGTCAGTATGGAGTTCCATATCTCTCTCTCTCTCTCTCTCTCTCTCTCTCTCTCTCTCTCTCTCTCTCTCTCTCTCTCT